TTTCACTATGATACTGTACTGTTCATTGATATGACAACAATGATGAATGTAGTGGATATATGCAGATGATGTCAAGTGAATATCGTATGTACTCTGTATTTAGATTTGCACAAACTTAAAGAATGGTTCATATCATTTACTACTGTTCTTCCAGATCAATTTGGTGTTTATACAATTAAAATAAATTATACGTTTGTTATTTTTTATATATTTTATTCTCTTTATTCATTTATTCTAGACGTCCTTTACTTTCTTCTCTTCATTTTGAAAAAGTTACACCAATTAGACCATGGAGACATGACCATGTTGCTCGTTTCCAATATCAATGTTATCCATTTTATCTTGCTTTCTTTGGCATGTTAATTTCTACACTGATCTTTGTTTTCTTCTATTTGAGTTACAAAGAACTTCCTAAAAATATCAAGACTGATTAATACCAAAATATTTCTTCTTTCTTGTCAATACATTTCTTTTTGGTTTATCTTTTCTTATAGAAATATCATTTAAATTTTTAATCTCTATTAACTTTTTTGTTGTATCCCTTCACTTCTTTTCTTATCATGAAAACAGTATAGTTCACAAGATAATTTTTTCTTTTGTTTCAGATATATCTAGTTAGAGACTTACTCAATTTTAATATTTCATGTTGTCTTCAATCTACAATGAATTGAAAATGGTTGTAGTTAGAGAAAATAAAAGTATCATTTAATTGTAAAATTAGTTAGAGAATACATCACTAATAACCAAGTTCTAATAAATATATATCACTGAAAGAGATATTATATCATTAAATGAATGCTATACAAATACTAACAAAGAGATGATAAGTAATGTCTAGTAAGTATTTCCTTGATTAGATATAAAATAATAAGTGGTTTTACGTGTTGATTCTTTTCAGTAAATACTAGAAATAAGGAAATAATATTGTACATAAATGAAATTTTTAATAATGTTTAGTCATAACAACTTATGTTTTTAATTAAACAACATTCTTTAATCTTCATTAAAATATAATATTGTATATTATTGAACTGGATTTATTAATTAAACATTGATAATACTAGAATTGTTATTAATTGTTTATTTCTTCATAAATTGTTATTATTAGTTTGGTCTACACTATCATTTAGTGGTTATTAACTAACCACTGGTTTGTGTTCGTATCACAGTCATTTATTTCATAAAAACTAATCATTATAAGAGTTATTATAAGAGTTATGGTAATAATTTAAAATTATTAAAATAATAAAACAAGTAATAAATAGAATATTAAATTGTTTAATTTAAATAAAAATAAATAAAATAATTTAATGATTAAATAATAAATAAAATGATGTGTTATAAACGTGTATTTAAGTATTTGGCATATTATTTTAATCTTATATTCATTAAATTAAAATGGAAGAAGTGATGAACAATCAATTAATTAAAGAAGTAGTAGAAACACTTCCAAATATTCAACAAATGATTAATGATACCACTAAACAATATCAATATTATTTAGGAAGTATTAAAAATGAAATATTTAAAATAAAACCAAATGAAACATATTCAGAAGCTATTAAAAGAGGAGAAGGAATATTTGATAGAATTGATGAAACAGAAAGAAGAAGAAGAAGAAGAATGGTAATAGAAAAAAAGTCAAGAAACAATTAAAACAATAGAAATAATAAAGAATAAAATGGAAAATATAATAGAAGAATGTAATAATGATTCAGAAACATCTAATAAAGCAAAGAATGAACTAATAGATAAAATCATTTATATTGAAGAAATGAATATGAAAGATAAAATTAAGAAAATAGAAGAAGAAATTAACAATATTAAAACAAGATTTAATAAAAATAAAGAAGAATGGTTTACACATTATAGTGATTATTTTGAGAAGAAGAAGTAAAAGAAGAAAAAGAAAAGAAGAAACAAGAAGAAGAAAGATTAAGAATAATGAGAGGAGTGTGTACAATTGAAGAAAATCAACAACTAGAAGAATGGACATCAAGAAAAGTATCCAATATACTATTTGATTCTCATATTAATACATGGAATGCAGGTAATTCAGTATTTAGAGAAAAGTTGTAGATAAAGAGTATCTCATAATTATTATTGAAGATACAAATGGAAATAAATTTGGAGGATATATTAATGAGAAAATTGATAAAGTTGAAGATTATATAAATGATCCAAATTCATTTTTATTTTCATTAGAATCAAAAGGAAGAATAAAAGGAATGATGAAATTTGATATTAAAGAACCACCGTATGCATTTTATTTATTTAACCAATCAAATATTTGTTTGTTTGCATTTGGATATAATAGATATGATATTGCTGTTTATGTTGAAAATAAGAAAACATATTCATATTGTAAACAACAATCATATGAATATAAAGGAATGACAAATGCACTTTGTGGAAAACAATTTCCAGAATATTTCACACCACAACGAATTATTGTAATTGAAATGAAATAATTTTTATTCATTATTATTTATTTGAAATATAAAAATAAAAAAGAATATAAAATAAAATCAATAAATGAACATTTCATCTATCAATCAATGAAATAATGAATATAAAAATGTTCATATTTCTTTCTTGTTTTATTTTATTTCAAATATTCACATTTATTGTGTTAATTTAATAAATAATCAAAAGAAATAAGAATAAAAGATAAATAAAAATATAATGAAATATTTATTTTATTCTTTTTTATTTATTTTTTATTTTATTTATATTATGTTTATAAATGAATATGTTAATATATCAAAAATAAGAATAAATAAGAATAGTACAAATAAAATAAGATAAATCATTTTATTATTTTTTATTTCTTTATTCTTATTCTATTTAACTAAAATACAAAATACAACATTATTCAGTTTGTATAGAAAAGATAAAATAATAAGAAATGAATGATTAAAATAATCAACACTTTATAAATACAAGATATCAATAGTAGAACATATTATTGTCTTGTATTTATCATAAAAATCACAAATAGAGAAACATGATAATATCAATAATATTATATTAGATAATAAGAAAATATACATGAAATAATCAATACAATAAATAAACAATGAACAATGTTCTAATACAATGACATCATAATGATATTGAACAAATAAATAATATCAAAAACTGATATACAATATCATAAAATATCATATATATTTAATAGATAAAAATAATAAAACTTGTATATTATTTGATATGACTAATGTTGCAAACCACAATATCAATTGAACATATTGAAGAAGAAATATATAAAGAAAAATAGAATAAAGAAGATGAAATAAGAGAATTTAAAATAATTGTAGAAATAACTTCAATAAATTAATTAGAAAATACAGAAAACATTAAAATAATTAAATAATTAAAAATGAAATACACTCTATAAAAGAAGTCAAAAACATTGTAATAAAAATATGAAAGATGTTATAAAACATTGATTCTACTATAACAGAACATAGTCATACCTATTTTTGATAATAGTTCAGAATGAAATTGGTCTCTATGAACAAGTAAAAACAGAAACCAATTCTGTTACACTTAGTCAACATTTTTATTCTTTGTTTGTGGTTTTATCTCTTAATTATCTTCTTTATTCATTATTTATTTATCATTGTTGTTTTTTGTGTTGATTTATTTCTGTATTTTATTTTACTTTCTATGTATTGATTATCTGTTATTTATTACTTATATCTTTCTTTGTTTCATTTCTTCTTGTTTTTGTTATTCATTTATTATTTCTATTTCCTGAGTTTGTATTATGATAATTAATAAAATGATAAAAAAAATACTTGAAATATTTGATTTATCAATTCTATTTTATTTCATGTTTCTGTTATTATTCATTTCTCGTATTGTTTGTTTCTTATTCAAAAAAACTCATTCTGTCTGGTTAATTATCAAATATAATGAAATTTGTTGTTAAATTTGTTTGTTATTTCATTGAAGAAGATAAATTCTATAAAGTATTGATTTCTTTATTTCATGGTTTGATTGTATAACATTGAGTGTTTTATTCTTTCATTTAATTATTTTTATTGGTATTGTATTGTTGATTTGATATTTTGATGTTTGTTTTATTGTTTTGGTTATTCATTTTATATTCACCATTTCTTTCTTTTTAAAACTTCTTCATCTTCTATCATTAAATTCAGTTCAGTTCATTTAAAAATAACCAGTTCATTTCACTGACTTTCTGATAACAATGAACTTAATAAACATTCAATCCATTGAATGATAACTTGATAATATTGGTAAGATTAAAACAAGAAGTTATTAATTAAGAATGTTGATGTAATTTAAATATAATTTGGATAAATTGAATCAAAAGAAACAATCAAAGAAAACACAATTTCATTTATACTTAAATCAAAACAAGACAATAATAAAATACAATATCACATTCATTTAATCATTCATTTTTTATTCAGTTGTATTGGTGTTATTTGCTTTTTCTTTTTCTGTTGTTTCAATGTAGATTTCATCATATTCTTCTATTGTAATAGTGTTGTTGTTTTAAATAACTGTTTTTAAAGAATAAAGAATGAAAGTGAAAACGCTTTATCTTTTATTCTATTTAAAACCATAAAACAAACAAAACGTTAAATAATCAATTATAATATTAATTTTCGTGTATTCACATAAATTGAGTTGCTATTAGCATCTAATACAATAATATCTCCTGAATCAAGTCTAACACAAATCATTGACTCACGAACATAAAATACAGCACTTTTACCATTTCGAGATTTACTAAAAAAACTTCCTGTTGGGATATTTACAACTTCACATGCAAGACGTTTCCATTCTAAATGAAGTTCAACTTTAAGTTGTGTGATTGAGTCTTCTTTTAAATCATATTTAAATTCATTTTCATTAAAGAAGTAGAAATATTTTTCATCTGAATAATAAATGTGAACTGCTTGTTTTTTATCTTCTGTATATAAACTGACACATTTTCTTCCTGTGATACTGTTTGAAGAAATAGTTGCTAACCATACTGGTGATAATTTATATATTTTATCTTCATAAATTGCTGTAGTAACATTAACTCGTTTAGGAATACTTCCTTTTGTAGAAATTTGTGCTAAATCATTCATTCTTAACAATCTGTTAATTTTAAAACTTGCCTTCTCTAACTCTTCAATTTTTAATCTCGTAGTAACCATATCTCTCTTTGTATATGTTAATCTTGTTGATGTAGCTTCTATACCTTCAATTAATTTATCATTACACAATTGTGCTGTTTCTTCTATACTATTTGTTACGTCGTTCTGTGCTTGGCTAAGAACATGTTCAAGTTTTTTACATTGCTCAGCACTTGCTGAAAGTAATCGTTGTGCTCGATTTTCAAGTTCAGTTGTAATTTGAGTTTTTTTCATTTCTAATACTGTCTTTTCAAGTACCACTACTGTCTCACTAAGGCTTTTAACTTTGAGTGTTAATTCCAATAACTTCCTCATTACCATTTGGAGGATGTCATCTGTTTGCATGATTTAATCATAATCCGTTCATGATTTTTTTTTAATTTTTTATTAATAGTTTAGGAAAAAAGAAAAAATCAAAATCTAAAAAACTATACCAAAAAGTGAAATTGTTTAATGAAAAGGAGTGATGATTTAGGATGACATCAGATTAGATTCTAATACTTTGTTGTAATTTAAAATTGAACTTATTATTTTTCTTTATTTGTTATTTTTTTAGTGTTTTCTATTTTAATGTAGGATCAAAAGTATTATACTTTATAGTTTTTATGTTTATGGACAGTAAGAAATGAGTCAAACATATTTAATCTCTTTTACCAATAAAAAATAAAGACATTGATTGGGTTGTAGATATTCTAAATTTAATAAAAGAAATTTCATAAAATGATTCTATATAAGAGTCTTATTAGATATGAGTAATGCATCACATCGACTAACTAATATAACATCAAATCAGGAGATAAAATAGATAAATTGAATTTAATATAGAATCTGTTCAAGGAAGTAAGAGCATAAAAACGAATAAAATATAATTTCATTTATATCATATTAAAATAAAAAATATTAAATAATGTTCTAACAAATGATAAAATAACAATTAGTGAATATAAATATTAAACACTCAGTTTTACACTTACCTTTTTATTGTTATTTATAATGTGTTGTCTTCAATTAATGCCTTAATATTCCATTTATTGTTTCATTATTCATATATTACAATTATTAACAAATGAATCATTTTAATTTTATTATTTAAATGAAACATACTATAGTTTTTAAATTCAAATAACGAAGAACATAACATTACTAACACATCAAATGATATTAATTCATTATTGAAACTAATTGCTATATTAACATTTAATTAGTATTGAAATATTTTATAACAAATCATTTTTTAATATCTGCAGTTCTAATATACAAAAACAAGAGATATTTTAATGACCTTGAAATGATAGATTAAGCACAATATTTAAAACATAAATTACTACCAATAAAATTTAAATTGATACGACATCAGTACAATAAATAAATTAATAAAAACATAAATTCAAACAACAATGAACACAAAACGTTAAACAACAATAAATAAAGAAATAATAAAGATATAAAAAATATATAAATTGAATATTAATAATAGAAGTATTAATAATGAAAGAATAATTATAACTGTTGAGAGCTCTTATAATGATAGAAATAAACAGTCAAGAGAAATAATAAAAAATAATGATAATAGTCTTGTCAATGAATAATGAAAGAACTAATTAATTCAAGTTTTTTTACCATTTTCTTTATTTTCTAAAATAGAATTAAAAATAGAACAAAAATGATAATATTTTAAATTATAATAAAACTTTGTATCAATACTGGTTTCAGGCTCTTGGTTTTTGATTATTCAATTCAAGAAAATATTAGAAGCGGAGAAAGAGAAGGTTCACCTGGAATATTTGTTTATTACGACGTTTCGCCAATGGTATTGGAGGTAACAGAATCAAATCATGGATTCCTTCATTTCTTAATTGGTATTTGTTCTATTGTTGGTGGAATATTTACAACATTCCAATTATTTGATGTTATAGTCTTTGAGTCTATTCATTCATTGGAGAAGAAAGTTGAATTAGGAAAAGATGTTTAGAACAATAATTAATTGAATCATTAAGAAGAATATTTCTAGTTAATTAATAAGAAATAATGTAAAAGATACAGTAAAAATTACAATAAATATGAAAACTAAAATTTATTAACTAAAGAAGAAGCCACAAATTAAATTAGGTAAATTTTGATTTAGTACTCATAATCTTCAACACCACCATTTTGGTTTAATAAAATTTTAATAATTTTCTTAGTACATTTTCTATAAAGAGCTCTGTACTCTGCTTTTGCTTGATGTCTTAATTTAGAGAAAACATGTTTTCCTTTTCTTCTCATTTGTTTAAGAAGTGCTCTAGCAGTTTTAAGAATAGCAATTTCTTTTTTTTCAGCTTTATGATATTCATGAGCAATTTGTTTTTCAGCTCCTTTTGAAATACGTTTAACTTTTCTTAAATTATGGGTGTTAATTTCAAATGAACTTTGTTTTGTTTTAAGTCCTTTAGAAATATTGTCTCCAATGGCATGAATACCTGTTTTAGCTGCATTGTTATTAGCATCACCAACTTGTTTAGCATAAGCCAATTGTTTAAGAGTTCTATCAAGAACAGCATAGAATGTAGTAACTAACTTTTGAATACCAGCACGAACAGTTTGTTCTTTTTGTCTAATAGCACTAACCATTCCATCAACAATTGGTTTAATTTGTTGTTTAAGATCATCATCAGCCATATTATAATATTCCATTAAATGTCCAAGTTTTCTTGTTCCATACTTAGCTAATCTATTTGCTAACCCTTCACCCTTTGTCCTCATAACGTTTCTTGCTTTGTTAATGACAGCAATAGTCTTATCAAGCTTGGCATTAATTTTTAAATGGTACTTATGAACTTTGTGAAGGGTTCTTGCTTCTTTTCTTAAAATTGAATTATCAACTCTGTTAAGTTTTTTTGCAGAAGCAATGTGAGTATGTCTAGATTGAACTGCTGGTTGAGCTGGTTCTTGAACGTTTTCTTGAGTAGTGAATTGGGCATTGATCATAAAAACGAATAAACAAAGTAATAAAAGACTTCTCATCTTTTAAAAGAAAAAGTATGAAATTAGATTAGTTCTAGTGAAGAAATACTTTCCGTTGGAATCATAGGAAGATGATTTAATAAATTATTATTTATTAATTATAAAGATAACAAAGTAGTTTTGATTTTTGTGCTTACTACTCAAATTTTATGTCAGTTAATGCATAATTTCGGTTGTTTGTCTGTACCACCAATTTTTCTTTAATTTTTTGTTTATTGGTTTAAGAAAATGTTTTTTTTTAATTTTTTTGTGTTTTTCCAAAAAAGAGATGAAAAGATAAAAAAATAATTAGGGTTTGAAGGAAATCATGAAAAAGTGAAAAAGAATAATTATGATAAAAGAAACAGAAAAATATTAAAAAAGGAACTATTAAAAAATAGGTTTTTAATTTTCCCAAATCGCCAACTAGGGTTCAAGAATCTGAAACAGATAAAAAGACAAAAAGAGAAGATTTAAAAGAATAAAGAGAACTTGAAAACATCAAATTGAATTTTTAAATTCATGTCAGACAAAGCCAGTCAAAAGAAATCTGTTGCTACTAAAGACGCTACCAAGCCAAAAAAAGCTGGAGATGAAGAAAAGAAAACTATGCTTAAGAAGAATTTTGAGTCATATGCTTTATACATTTCAAGAGTTTTGAAATCAGTTTTCCAAGATATTGGAATTACACTTCCATCTATTTCTATTATGGATTCATTTGTTCGTGACATTTTTGAAAGAATTGCTACTGAAGCATCATCTCTTGCAAGAAATTATAATAAAACCACAATCACTGTCAAAGAAATTGAAACAGCTACTAAACTCATTCTTAAAGGTGATTTGAATAAACATGCAGTTTCTGAAGGACAATCAGCTGTTAAGAGAGCATCTGGTAAAGGAAGCACTTCAGGATCTCAAGCTTAATCTGGGGTTGTGTTCAACTTGTTTTTTGGTTTTATTTATTTTTGTTTTTTTTAGAGTAGAGTTATTTTGTAGTATTCTTCTCTTTGAATGATTTAATCATGAGAAGAGTTATTGCTTCATATAAAGAGTTTATTCAGTGAGAATTAATTAATGTTTATTAAAACTCATTTTTCATCAATATTTGATGATGAAGGTTTTAGTTTGTCAGGTAAAGACTTTGTTTCTTGATTAGGGAAGTTCGCTGAATAGAAGTACTTTATAATTTTATTAGAAATATTACAAAATGACCATTAAATGATTTTCAATAATTTTTGAATTATTAAAAATGAAATACATTTTATTAATAAAAAGTTGATGTTTTTATATGAATTATCTTTTCGATTATTTTTAATCCTTATCAAAAAAAGGTATTTTATTTGGTTGATTATTTTTAGATCAACTTTTTAATAAAACTATATTCATAAAATTTTAGAATAGATAAAATCATAAATAGATAGAGAATAGAACCAAAATTAAGCACTTTATTTTTATCCTCTAAATAGTTTATGTAACAAAAAAAGAAACCAAACAAAGAAAGAATCTGGAAAAGGATCAAATAATCTGGTTTAAATAAGTAAATGGCTCGTTTATATGCATTAACAGTCATTCATATAGAAGATGATAGCAAAACAAAAATACTTTACTGCAAATCAGATATAGGATGTTTTGGATTATTTCAAAGTAACACAATCAAAGAATTTATCCGGTTTGGATTTATCGAAATGTCACAACGATGTGAAAGAGATAAGCGAATGGTTATTAAGTCAAGTGAGTATGGAGGTGTTTTATTTAATTTATTAGTTAAACCTGATGGATTAGGAATTGGAATACTAACAAACCTTGACTATCCCAAAAATACTATCACTTATATTATTCATCGTTCATTTGAATTATTTTATTCTAATATAGTTGATGACATAATTACTTCGTCATGTATTAAAAATTCAACAAGTGAATTAGATTATCTCTTTACACATTTTAATAATCAAAAGAATTGTAAATTATCAAAAGAAGAAATAATCAAAACAGAATTAGATGAAACAAATGAAAAAATGAGTGTATTAGTAACTAAATTAATTTCTAGAGAAGATGAACTTCAAGACATTGTCTCAAAATCAGAAGTTCTTTCAGATAAGTCTAAAGTTTTCTTTAAAAAAGCAAAGAAGTCAAAACGTTGTCATGTTCCTTGTGTATTACAATAAACAAACTTTCTTTTTATAATTCTCTCAAAAATAAACTAAAATATAAAAGTACTACAATCAAAATAAATAGTTTTTAATCTAAATTTCATTTTCATTGTTTGATTTTTCATTTATCAAAAATGACTTTATTTTCTCAACTAAAAGGATAGTTTCTGGTGAATTCGGTTTGACTTCTTCAATATACAAATCTCCTTTACTTTGAATAAATAATTCAATTGGACTTGAACATGCTAATGCATAATTTGATTCAACCTATTCATTAGTATATTCCAATAAAATAAAAAGAAAACAAACTTCAAATATATTTAAAATAGATTTAATCAAAAGAAAGAGGATTCGTTCATTTGAACAAATAAACATCCTTTGAAGGCAGAAACTACTCAATTCAATAAAATAATTATTTACTAATAGTTGAACAATTTGAACATTGTTTGTTGAAGAAATAAGAACAGTTGAAATGAAATTAATTGAAGAATATGCTATATTTACGAAATTATGGGTGAAACAACCTATAATAAATGCAATAGAATTTGAAGAACATAATAAAAGATCATTAAATCGTTGATGATATTTTTCTATTGAATTAATACTATATAAAAAATCAATCAAATGATAAAGTATTGTAACTGAACTATTAGGAATGAGATTAAGAAGAGAAAGAATAAATTGGTCAATGAACCTAGAAGTATTTGGATATACTTGAATCCATTCACTTATTAAATTTAATAAACCTAATTTACAATACTCATTAATGTGCATTAAAAGAACAACATATTGTTTCATTATCCCTTGTTCTAAAACTCTTTCTATAAACTCTGGTGAATTAACTGAAGTATTTTTCATTATGTCAAGTACATTATATTCAGAATCACCATGAAATTTTAAAAAATTATCTCTTAAATAATAAAAGAGATTATTTGTAAATTCGTTGTATTCTTTTGGTAATCCTCTTGTGAATGAACTAAGGAAACGAAGAAATGAGGAAAGGCATTCTTCATTTAATACTGGAGAATTACACATGACTTGAACAATGTTCATTAAAGAATTTAATAAGTCTTTTGATAATAAATTATTACGTAATGTTTGTCTATCATATATTAATTCTGCAAAAAAATCTAGTGATTTAATAAAAATATGAATCGAATCAATAGATGGTGGCTTTTTAATAATGTTAATCAAATATGACATTAATCCACAATCGAAAAATATATTTATCACATTCTCATCAAGAGAGGTTGATAGTTCACATAAAAGAGATAATAATGCTTCAACAACTGAAATTGACCTATGTGTTAGGTTATTCAATTGATTAAATAAACTTACATTTAATATATCTAATGGGCATTCTTGTGATTTAATAATATTTTTAAAAATGTCCAATGCTTGTATAACAACTTCGTCATTACTTGATAGAAGGTCTTGATACATTTGGTATTGGGCATACCCAACCGGTGAGTCAGATAAATCAACAAACTCACTTTTCCTCTTCTTATTTAACATACTTAATCTTAAATTACTTCTCAATGTTTCATGTAACTTTATTTGATCTTTTATTCCATACGCTGAGATTCTAAATGACATTAAATGAGTATTATTAGTTTGAGTTCTATTTATCTTTAACTTAGTTTTTATAAATTGAGTTATCTTTATTACTCTTTATTTTTTGTTATATATGACAATATAATAAACTCCTAATAGCACATATCTTTACTTTTGTTAATGAAAGTTACAAGAGGAGATGGTGATATGGCTGTGGATGTTATCAACTTAATAATATGCTATTAAAATTCATAAACCAATTTTGAGATAAAAACAAGTTATAAAATAAAAAATGAGATTGGAGAAATGATAATTTCATAAAGAGAACTAAAAAAGTTATGTCATTAACTCAAGAACAAAAAGACGCTTTTAAAGCAATTTTTATTGAAACAGTTACGAATTTTGCCCAACAAGTAGGTCAAGCAACCGAAAAAGTGTTTCTTCAAATCCTTCCACTTACAGTTGTTGCAGGAACTGAATATCTAAAATCTTATGAAGAAGACTTAAAAACAAAACTCGAAGACTGTAAAACCAAGTCTCAAAAAATAATTGGAGCATTGTCTACAGTTAAAGAGCCAGAAAAAGTAGAAAAGTCAGGAGATAAACATCTTCCTCTTGGAGAATTACTTGGAAAAAGAGTTCAAAGAGGAGAAGATTGGAAATGGGATGATCAAGATGGTGGAATTGGATCATTTGGTAAAGTAGTAGGAGTAAAAGGTAATGGATGGGTAAAAGTACAATGGGAGTCAAGTAGAAATGAGAATAGATACAGATGGGGAGTTGATAAAGCTTATGATGTTAAAGTAGTTGAAATAGTAGATGATTTAGGAGATATTCCACCATTAGAAGAACAAATTAAAAAACCTACTAGTTGGGTTATTGGTAAAAGTGTTGTTAGAGGAAGAGATTGGAAATGGAAAGATCAAGATGGAGGAGAAGGACAAATTGGAGAAGTTATCGATGTTTGTGATGAAGGATGGGTTGAAGTTAAATGGAAGAATGGAATGGTTTGTCAATACAGATGGGGAGGAGAGAATGCATTTGATTTAAAAGTGGTTCCTAAACCAAAAGAATAAGAAGAATTCTTTTTACAATAAATTGTTTTATAATTTTAAATATTTATTATTGAAGAATAAAAAATGAATTAAAATAAAAATGTTTTCTTATTGAATAAGACTATTTAACTATTACAGGACCAAATTCTGAACAACTGAATAGAGTACCATTATTTGATTTAAATTGAAATTGACCTTTCCATTTAGTTCCAATTGGAGTTATAGGTGGAACTTCAAATCGAATTTTAAATGAAATTATTCCATCATTTAATGGACAGTTTAACTCTAGTTTGCATAAATCTTTTGAAAGTTGTGGAACTTGTATCCACGAAGTACCAACTTTCATCCATAAATCAGTATAAAGATTTAAAGAATCAATTTTTTTATTAAACTTTCCAGTAAATGTGAGGACAGATGCTAAACCACTTACTGGAGGCCATGGTAAACCTTCTATTGTAGAAATAGTAAATGTTTTAATTTCACTACAAACATTAAAAGGGATTGATGTGGCTAAAGAGAATGAAATTAATAATAAAGAAAGTAATAATTTCAATAATGGCATATGAATATTATTTGTTTAATTGTCAATAATCTATATAAACTTTTAATTCTTTTGAAAAGAGAAAAGTATTTTTATTATTTTGGTAATAAAACAATATCAAAAATAAAAATAAATGGTAAAAAAAATATAATATTGACAATTTATTTTTTTTATTTCATTTTTGTGTGTCATTGTTTTAAATATTTTAAGAATAATATCTTTTTTAATAGTATTTATTATAAATGATAAATTAATTTAAAAATTATTATTTATTAAATAAATATTTTTTATCCCATTTTTTTTATAAATAACACAAAAATTTATTGAACTTTTTTTTTTTTGAAAATATAAAAAAAAAAATAATCATAAAAGACTTTGAAATAATCATGGAATCAAGTTATATACTAACAATTATAGAAGCTGGAGTTTGTGTTGTTGTCTTCCTAATCTTTATGCTTTTTATGATAAGAAAATGTTTTATTATTTCTCATCAAAAAAAGAAGAAACCTTCTAAAGTATCATTTAATCGTTTGTACTTTACAATTTCCTTACTATCCAAACAATTGAATCAAATTCATTACATTTAGCATATGTTTATAAAACAACTACAAAATTCATTAAATGTCCACCAATTCCTCCACCAATTATAATTCCTGAAAAACCAAAATCATATAATCCATTAGAGTCTATGGTCAATATTGAAATTGTATTACCAAAATCAAAATCTCCTACTTTTGAATCAGTTATTCCAAAACAAAAACCACAACCAACTGTTGATTTACAACATTCTCCAAAACAACTTCTTTCTGTTGATAAAATGAATTTACCTGAATTACCTCAAAACAATGTCAAAATAGAAAATGTCAATGATGTATTAAGAAGAAGTCTTGCTACACCAGGAATTGCAAGTATTACTCCATTACTCACTCCTATTGATAATTCACCAAGAATTAATCCACCCTCTAGTGCATTAGTTGGAATTGGTACAAGCCCATTATTGACACCTCGAGTTATGGTTCAGAACTCAAACCCAATAAAAAATCCACCTCAAAGTGCAATGATTGGAAGAAAAGTTCAAATTGTGATGAATAAACAAAACGAATCTTTAAAGAATAATAAGAGTAAAGAAGTTAAATCACCTTCATCAAGTTTAAGTGAATCAACTGAAGAGGAGAAAGAAAATTAAATTAGAAAGTTGAATATACTCCACGTCTCTTCCACGTTCATTAAAATAAAATGTAAAATAGTTCAAGAACTAAAAGTATTAATTAATATGTCTGAAGAATCATATCCATTAGTTATTGATAAAATAAATCATTTAAGTTCTCAAAGAGAAAAACCAGTTTGTTTGATTGCTGTAAGTAAAACAAAACCAAAGGAAGCTGTACAACATTTATATAATAAATATAATCACTATGTTTTTGGTGAAAATTATATTCAAGAACTTCATGAAAAAGCAACTGAATTAGAAGAGGTATGTCCAAATATTGAATGGCATTTTATTGGTAGATTACAATCAAATAAATTGAAACTTCTTATTTCTACACCTCATCTTAAGTGTATTCAAACAATTCATTCACTAGAAATTGCAGAGAAATTAAATAAAGCATGTATCAATGCAAATAAAGTTATTGATGTTATGGTCCAAATAAATAGTAGTGGTGAAGAACAAAAAGGAGGTGTTTCTGTTGAGGAAGCATTAAATGTTGTTAAAGAGGTAATGAAATATTCAAATCTTCATTTTATTGGTATTATGACAATTGGAATGGTTGGAGATTCTAAAAAGAATTTTACAACAATGAAACAATTAGCTGATATTATATGTTCCCAAGAACATTTAGAATCAATTGAAATTTCAATGGGAATGTCATCTGATTATGAATTGGCTATTGAGTTAGGAGCTACTATGGTTAGAGTAGGAACTGCATTGTTTGGTGCTCGTGATTACTCTAAGCATTAATAAATTTATTAATTGTTTTAAGTCTTCTAAATCATAAGTAAGAGAGATTTAAAAAGACAAAAAGAGAAGTTACATGGAATTGAGATGTTCTTATTTTTTTGATATTTATTATTCTTTCAGTAGAACTAAAAAGAAGAAAAGTATTTTTTTTTGTTTTTTATAACAAGAAATGAAATGGTTTTTTATAGTAAAAAACTAGTTTGAAAAACTAATAATACAAACTATTAGCTTAATATGTCAGAGCAGCCTAATGGGATCCATTTACTTGTCCAAATACTTCGTTCCATTGAAGAATTCAAACAATGGCTCTTACAAAGACCACAAAGCAAAGAAATTGACTTGTTATTAAATGGAACACCAATAGAAGAAATAGAAACAACAACTATGCATGATTTTATGGTTTCATTACAGAAACATATTAATAAAGCATTGATAAGTGATGAAGAAGATGGATGCCCATTAAATGGTATTCTTATTACAACAAATCAATGTTTAAATTGTAATATTGAATGGACACAATCTGCATCACCATTTTTTATTACTATAGAAAAGAATACTGATATTCAAATTGATTCAGTTCAAAAAGCAATTATCTCATTCTTAGAAGCTCATTATTGTTCAAGAAAACAATGTAGAGTATGTAATAAAGATTTGATGGTTGTTAATGAATATTTATTTGCACCAAAAATTTTATGTGTTGAGCTTGCTCATTTAGATGTTCCTTTAAGTCTTGAAAAATCCATTATTGTTAATGGAATGGAATATGATTGTATTGCTGCAATTTACAAGAGGAATAATGTCTTATATTCTACTAGGCGGTTAAGTACAAATGAATGGATATATTCTGATTCATCAATTGGTGAATTATTAAAATCAGATGATATCCAATTTACATTTTTTAGACAAAAACCAAGTTATTTGCATGATTTATGAATTATTATAGTCAACATTCTTAAAAGTTATTAAACACAATCTTCTTTTACTTTATTTTTCTTGTTTTGAATTCAAAGAAAGAAACATTTTAAACAATAAATAAAAATAATGAAGATAATTAACTACATTTTTTATTGTGAGGTTTTAACATAAAAACCTTTAAATATGTTTTCAGATTAGTTTATGTTTACTATTTTTATTATAATGTTTAACTTAGAGATAGACATTTGGTTATATATTTTATAACTCGAAATTATCTAATAAAGGTTTTATTCTTATAGTTTTCATCATATTAGAATGATAATATTTACTTTCTTCGTTACAAAATGAGTTTCAAAACAATGTTTAAAAAGAAAGAATATTATCAACAAATCATTATTGTTATTTATATTCTATAACAACTAATCACTATTTTGTTCAAATAATATGTTTGTCGGAATATTTTGTTTTTATTTAAGATAAGAAGAAAGATTGTTTGTCCTATCAAATATAAAGTTTATATTCTCTGTAAATTGAAATTTAGTTTATCTTTATATTTCATACTTTAATGGATATATTTCATTTTATTTATTATGGTAAATACTACTAATTTAGAGAAAGTACTTGATAAGTATGGTAACAACAATATAGCACTCACAGCAAATTAATAAGAAATTATTAGTAATTAGAAATTTAATTATAAATAAAATGAGTCAACAGAAGTATATTAAAAATAAGTAATATCCAAAAAAAAAAATTAATTGAATAATAATGTTTCATTTATTAGTGATTAAAAATAAAGTTTCAACAATGATTCATTGAATTGAATAGACTTATTTGTTATTTAGTAATAAAAAGTTTTGTTTTAATAAAGTATCTTTTTGTTTCTTCTTGTATTTCTTTTGTTATATTTTTCAGTGTTAATTAAATCAAAACTATTTCAATCTATTTATTTTTGGAATAAAATGATTATTTCATACTCTTAGTTTCATTCAAATATTATTTATTTTCATGGATTATTTACTTTCATTGTCTTAAAATCATGTAATAATAATGAATCAATAATAATCTGATTAATTACCATTTAATTATGTTAATTTCATTTTCATTAGTTGTTATAGAAATAAATCATTAATTGAAATAGAAGTGAAGTTTAATGAGCAAAATAAGAATTATAACATATAAATATTTTATTTCATGTAATAATTTTGATAATTCATAAAATTATCATAAATAAATAAGTTTAAGTACAACATTAATAACAATGAGGTTATTAGTTATTATGAAAGAAATGTTAATAGAAAGGGAATGATACTTTATTCAATATGAAATATTATATCAAATACATATTTTCAAATAAAAAAATGAGTTTGATGTTGATGGTTAATAAAACCAATTCTATTCAACAAAAGAATAAGAAAAATTAAAACAATCAATTAATTATATTGGTAGTTGTATTATTATTTTCAAGTTAATAAAAATAACATAATAATATAAACGAATAGAACTGGTCTATTATATGTGAGTGAAATAATTATTAAATGAAATACTTTACAAAGAACTTTTCGAATATGTAGAATTTCTTTGTAAAGTATTTTAAATCATTTGGTATTTATTTTGTGTATTTTTAATTAATTTGAATTTCTTTGAATTAATAATTGATAAAATTATATGAATTCTGTTTATACATTAGTTATTTCTTTGATATTTGTTCATTTAAATTGATTGTCTAAACTCTTTTCATTATTTTGTTATTTTAACTTCTTTATTCTAAAATTACAATAACAATGAAAGTAAAAATGTTTTAAATAAAATAATTCTCATTTTTGTGAACTTCTTTTATTTCTTTCTTCATTTGCTTTTATTGTTAATAATATTATGATTCAATTTTAACTTTATTGCATTTTTCATGCTTTTTTTATAAATAAATAAATAATAATAATAATAATAAAATAATTATATTTAATACTTGATAAAGTTGTTTAAATCGTTTAACATAACTAGACCTTTCAAATGCATAAATAATATTTGGAACGTATGTAACACTTGTCAGTGGTGTTATTATAAACATTATTTTTATTATTATGTCACTCGTTGTGATATATTCTAATTGTTCTTTAGTTGTAGTAGGATTAAATAAGTTATTGAGAATATAAATATATAAATATAATAGCAAAAAGATAAAGTCAGTGTATTTTTTATTATAAAAAGAAATTAAAATTGTTGTGAGTATCTTTTATTCTTTGAGTACATTTTTTGCAATTGTTGCGATTTTTATCATATCAATAAATATAGTAAGTTAATAATGATAAAATAATAAATAATTTATTTTAGTTTAATCTATTTATGATAAATTATAAAAATAGATAATCTATTAATAATTAAGGTTGAACAGATTATAGATGTTGAAAATGAAAGAAGTTTATAAGAAACAAGAATAAGAAACAAAATAAATACAAAGAAGAATAAAAGAATGATGGACACAAAAAAGAAGAAAGAAATAAAATATTTAAGAATTAAAAGGAATAAGTAATAATGTTAAGAATCAGATTGATAAAATCATGAAAATTGCATGAGAATTAATAAAAGTTGGTAAAATAGAATTATAGAAGAAATAACTGATAATGAAAATGAAATTCAAGAAGATAGAACTAAAAGAATAAATTAAATTTATTGTAGAAAAGAAGAAGTGGTTGGAGGAAATAAAATAGTTAGAAATAAAATAAAACAAGGAATCTTAATTTTATATACTTGAAGAATTTTTATCAAAGAATTAATAAAATTAGATACAAAGATAAAGAGGTATTATCAGAACAAGTTGACAATATCATTAACAAAGTGATAAAAACACAAGAAATTCGAATTAATAAATTAAATGAATGAAAATAAGGAAAATCAAATAGATATAAAGGAGAATTAGAAGATATTAGAATAGATTAAGAAACTAAAAGAGTTGAAAAGAAATATCCACCAAAATACCAAATAGAATAAATAGAGGAATGAATAAATAGAAAAATAAGAAATATACTATTTGACTCAGAAGTTGATGATTTGAATGTTGGTATATCAGTCTTTGATAAAAGAATAAAGAAATATAATAATTATTATTGTGGATACAAATGGAAATAAATTTAGAGGATTTGTTGTTACTAAAATTGATGAAGTTAAAGAATAGATAAATGTTCCAAAATCACTTTTATTTTCATTAAAATCAAAAGGGAGAATAAAAGGAATAATAAGATTTACTATTAAACAAACCAACTGGTATTTTATTTGTATACTCAATCAAGTGGTGACTTGTTTAGATTTAGAAATTGGTGAAATAGATTTGATCTTTTTGTTTGTAAAGAAGATAATAAAATACATGCAAATTGTAATCAACATTCATTTTATTACAAAGGAATACCAAACGCAGTTTGTGTAAAACAAATTCTAGAGTGTTTCATGCTAAAATGATTTATTATAACTGAAATAAAATAAATTGTTCTTTGTTAAAAATGATTTATTTAAATATAAAAACTAAACAATAATTGAAAATCAAATCGATAATAGAATTAAATATTTCACTCTTGATTTGATTTTGTTTGACTATTATTAATAAATGAAATGACATAAATTTATAATAAACAATAATAATAGAAATGAATAAAATATATACAGTATAGTAATGTTTTGATTATTAAAATAATTAAATAAGAATAAAAACAAATATTCAAATCAATTAGAATAAGTATTATTTACTTTTTCTATTCTTTCTTTATTTTTTTGATTATTATCAATATTTATTGTATTTTGATGTTTATGTTATTTATATTTCTTTTATTACATTATTTATCGTTTATTCTCTTTTATGTTATCTCAATTTCTTATTTATTTTTAATATAGCACAGTATCTATTATTTTTTTTCTCTTTTCGATCTTTATTTATTTAAATGAAATCATCTTCTATATTATTTTTTTATCTATTATTGTGTCATTTAAATTCATAATTATTGTCGTCTTTATTTCTCATTTAATTTATATTTAGTTATATCATTATCTTCTTTATTTATCTTGTCAACACCTTTTTGTTTAAATAACCTAAAGTATTTAATTTATTATTGCTCCTATTATTTATTCTAGCAACACTAGAAGAAGAACCTTCTAACTCTCATATCTTAGAAATGAACTCTACGATAAAACCAAAATATATTAAATTCAAAAAAACTATTAGTTCTCAATAATCGTAAAATCTAATTGTGGGTATGTATTAATTGACCTTTTTTGGTTATAGGTAAATTGAAGAAGTAAACTAAATTAAAGAAGAAAAGTCGAAAGATGATAGATTATGATTATTTCTGTTTAAGTTCTTTTGCTTTATCCATAACATATTCCATGATTTGTTGTTTCAGGTCATTCATCGGAATCACCATTGATAATTCTAATGGGGTTCTATCAAATGGGTCTTCTTTGGCATTCATCAAATGTTTTTCAATAGTGGTACGGTCAACAACGACATGACTATTAGGCAGTTTAACAGGGTCTTTCATTAATGTTCCAAGTAAGGCATCGCAATATTCTTCAGGAAGATCCATACCAACCATCTCTTCAACTTGAGCAAAAATATCATGAGAAGAATAATTTTTAATTTTATCAATCAATTTTTGGAATTCATCCATTTCTTTTTGTGACTTAGAGTGGATATACTGAACATTAACCAAAGCAGCTTCAAAAGTTTTTTCTTTGAAGGAACGAGCATCTTCATATATGGCTTGAATAAACTTATCACTTTGACCAAGATATAAGAAGATATCAAAAAAACTGTTTAACATTTCTTTAGGATGGAAATTATACTTTTCAAAGTTACTCACCTTAAATTCACTTGACCGTTCTCCTACAATACACGACAAGAAATAATTAAAACATGCAGCTACATCATTAATAACTAATTTATCTAAAAAGGGTCGTTGACTTTTTTGAAGAACCAACTTTAGAAAATCGAATGTACATTCTGTTATAGCAAATAAATTCTTTACTATTGAACCATTTTCTTTCATAGAATAAATAATGTCATTTTGAGTTTGTTTATCTAATAGATTCCATTTTTCTTTATCTTTTAGTTTATCTTCTGCAATTTTAATATCGCTTAATTTTAATAGTGAATCTTCTAATATTAAATTAGTATCACTAATAATGTATTGTACAAATGCAGGGAATATTCTCTCATTGTTTGATTCGAATATTTCAATCATTTTCTTTTGATAATCTTCAAATTCCCATAATACCTTAAAACACTCTTGAAGCATTTTTCTCCAATTTAATTTATCATAGTATTGAGAATGACTTCCTGTCTTCTCACAATCCACATAAAAACAAAGTAATGAGAATACCAAGTATTGTTTACTAAATTCATTCATTAATAATTTATGTGGTCTTTTAAAAATATCTTTTTCATTTAGAATAGCTTCAGTAATAGCAACTCCAAGTTCTGCTCTTGTGTAAGGACTATGACAAATATGTTGTGATGAAACAAATGAACAAATAATAACACTAAGATTCTCAGGTAAATTCATCAAAGATTTAAGATTATTATTTCTAATAAAAGATTCACTGTGAATAAAATCAGATAGAATACCAATAATGTATTCAGGAAGAAGTGCTAATGGTAGAGGAATTTTATTGGATTGATCTAACAATGGAGATACTGTTTGAGGTAAACAATGAAAGATAAATTTAACAAGATATTCACAAAAATTATCCATACTGCAACAAGCTTGAACATTAAATTGTTGAGCATTATTAGAAAGTAAGACTCTTTTAAGATAAGTACCTGCATAGAAATTTTGCTCTTCTTGAGCTCTTAATAAAGCTCTAGCAATATTTTTATTAGTCCCTAAGATTTGAGTTAAACATACTGGAGATAATTTTAAAATATTAAAAAATAGTAGTGTTGAAACAGATGGTGCTTCTACTTTAATTTGAGGAAATTTAGTATCACTTTGAATAGGATAGGTTGAATGAGTAAAGTCCAATGAATTAGTATATGAGTCATTAATAAAAATATATTGTTTAATTTCACTTGGAGTAGCTTGAAATAATGTAGTATTTTCAAGTTCAAGAATATTTGTATTTAAGAAATAATTAAAGTTAACTGTTGAGTTTTTAACTTCTTTTTCAAATACATAACATAAAGAGTAATAAAAGAGTAATAACAATGAATCAGGAAATACACTATCCTTATTATATCCAATTTTCATTCTTTCTTTATTAATTGTATAGAAACAATCTATCCATTTAAAAGTTTCTTCTCTACTATCCTCATATTTCATTAATGAACAAAGTACTTCACCAATCATTTTTTGTCCTGTTGCTCCTAAAGGTAATAGTCTTTGTAATATAGTTAAATAATCACGTTTCATAGGATCACCATACCCATCTAATTTCTCAAGAAAGAAAATTTGAAGCAATCTACCTAATAATGTTTTTGATAACTGATTTATTGTCATTTCTTTTGGTAAAAAATTATCATGGTAAACAATATTTAATGCAACAGCTTCATTCATTAATAAGTTATCAATAAATGAAAAGAATTCAAAAAATTCAGGAGATGTTAGTTTTATTTTACCAAGTTGTTTTAAAAATACTTGATAGAATATTTCTGTTATTTCCATCATATCTGGATGATTTTGAATACTTTTCATTATCATTCTTCCTTGACTTCCTGAAATTAATTTCCAAATCATCACATATACTGATTCTTTACTGGGAAATGAGTCAGGGAATTGTAACACAATAACCATATAATCAATAACTTTTTTTTGAATCATTTCTAATAACGTTTTATCAAAATATGAACAATCAGATAACCTATTAAGACATTCAGCTAAATAACTTAATGACATAAGATTTGTTGGGTTTGTTAGGCAATGTATTATGATGTTATCAATAAAAGGTTCATCAACCACTAAATGATCACTATAAAATTTTTTACAATCAATATCTCCATAGTCACAGCTATCAGTCATTTTACATTGAAAAACTTTTTGAACTAAGTACAAGTAAGCCTTCTGTTTTTTAATTTCCTCACTATCCTTATTTTGTTTTACCTTTAATTGTGTTGTTTGGCAAATGCTCTCTTGTTGCTTATCATTTATTTGATTAGAACCTTCTATTTTGTGTATTTTATTTTTGAATGCTTCAAGACGTTTACGGCGTATTTCATTTACATCCATTGTTGTTTATATTTTTTGAGTTCTTATTATTTCTATTATTATTAAATTAATCTTTGTTTTGTAACTTTCTTAAAAAAAATAAAAAATCAAAATATTTCATTTTTGTTTGATTTTTAAGATTCCAAAAACTAAAGAAAGATGTTAATTGACTGATAAAGAAGTGTAAGAATTGTTTCTAAATTTTCTTATAATATATAGAACTATTACAAAGATATTTCCTATGAGCAATACTCCAAGAAGAGGGCATATGATGTATAACCCCAATCGCCAATTTTTTTCTTTATTTTCTTCCTCTGGAGTATTAACTTCACATCTTCCAGAATCTAAATGCATTCCATCAACACATTCAGTACATCCATACCCATCCTCACATCCATTCTCTGTACAGTTTGAAGGACATTCTATTAATGTGAATCTTTTTTCTTTGTTTAATGATTTACTTTAAAAACAAACCCCAACATTTTGCTTGATACACGTACCATCCTTTAATACAATCATCACAATACCCATTACTACAATGTCCAACTTCACATTTATTACAAGAATTATCAAAACATGTATTGTTGGTTAGTACATAGTTATCTACACATTCAGAACACATCCCAGATTGGCAATAACCTGGCTTACATAATTCTCCACAAGATGTATCAATACATGTTTTATTGAAAGCCAAATACCCTTTTTGACATAATACACATCCATTTAACTTATCACAATAAGCATTAGCACAATGCTCAGAACAATCCACACAATTGTTTCCATCATAATATTTATTTTCATCACAACTACTTTCACACGATTTATTTGATACTTGAAAATGACTGACACACTCAACACACCCTTTTTCCATATCACATTTACCTTCTGCACAATATGGAGAACAAACTATGCAGCTCTCATTATCGACGAATGTGTTGTTAGGGCATTCAATACCAAGACAAGTTAATATGAAGAATAACACAAACATCATCTCAAAATGAAATTTCGTTTTTTTTTTCAAGATTTGTGTTTTGAATAGCACAAAATATTTTTTTCTTTATGAGAAGAGAAAAGTTGAAGAATGTTATCTGGAAAACGTCAAAACGTCTAAACTAGTTCTTTTTAGTTAGAGATTGAAATTTATATAGAATCTAAATTAAGGGTTGAGAACTTAAAAATAGGGTATTCCCTATAAAAAGGGAAGAAAGTCATTTCACAGAATCAAGAAGAGAACACCACAGAATTATGTCTGAGAGTTTTGGAGATGTAGATCAAAATGAATTAAAGATAAGAGAAGACAAAGACTCTATTGAATGGGAAGATGATGATGATGAAGTTTGTTTAAAGAGGATGAAGGTGAGTGAAGAAAAGCCAGTAAAAAAACGATTAGAGTTTGTTTTATTTTATTTGTATATGATTTAGTATGTATTAATAATATAGAAAATCAGTTGCTACATCTACTAATAATACAAGTACCAATGGAGTTACTAGTGATGGAACTCATAATTTGTCTATGAGAATTCCAATAGAAAAGACAGTTACAGCAATTAATGATGTAACGTTATTACAAGAAAGTATGACCTCTGAAGAATTGAGAAAATGTAAAGAGTTAAATAGAAAATTAATGAATCAACCAGAATCTCCTGCATTTAATACACCAGTTGATCCAGTTGCACTTCAAGTTCCAACATATTTTAGTGTAATTAAAAGACCAATGGATTTAGGAACTATTAAACACAATTTATCAGATAAAAAATATATTACAAAAGAAGAGTTTCAAGCTGATATGTTATTAGTGTTTGACAATGCATTATTATTTAACCATCCTGATTCAGAGGTTTATCATTGGGCAGTTAAGTTAAAGAAACAATTTGAAACGTTATGGAAAAATGCATTTAAAGAGAAAAAAACAGGAGATACAAAAACTAGTACTACATCTCATAATGATACATTAAATAAAGTAGAAGAAAAGAAATCAGAAGTAAGTAATTCTAAGAAAACACGAGCATCTTCAAGAAAGAAAAATACTAATAAACCATTAACTAAAGAAGAAATGATTAAATTAAGAAGTGATCTAAAACAAATTGAAAAGAATAAAGATAAATTAATTGAAGTACTTGCTGTAGTTAATGTAGATAGTAAAGGAAAGAATGAAGTTTCACTTGATTTAAGTAAATATACTACACAACAACTTAGAGAATTACAAAGAATTTTAAAAGGAAAAGGAAGAAAAGATGGAGATTATGATGGTAAGACTTATGAAGAAAAAATGCAACAATCTATTCAAGAACTTGAATTGTTAAAAAAAATTCAAGGAGAACCTATAAAGAAAAGTGTTGTTAATAAACCTAAGAAAGATGAAGAAAGTGATAGTGACAATGAATTATCATCATCTTCATCACTTGATTCAGAAGAAGCAAATTTGATGCGAATGACTGATGCACATTCAAAGAAAATGTAATATTTTAGTATCGTTTCTAGTTTTCAATTAATTGTTTTTTAAAACATTAATAATTAATTTAAAGTAATAATTTAAAGTTCAAATAACAAAAAAGTGAATAAAAAGATCTTTGAAAAGAGTTTAAATGATTAAAATACTTTATATCATATCAATTGTAATAGCAGAAGAATGTATTTTTGAACCATTAAATGATAATACTGATTTCAATAAATCTGAAAATTGGGGAAATAATTCATCAAATTGTCCATGTGAAGGAAATAATTGTAATATAAATTTTAATGAATTAACACAATCAAGTTATATCAAAAATATTAAAGGTACTTATAAAACATTAACACTTCCTAATAATCCAATTATATTAGAAATTATAGGATTATTTAATGTTACTGATGAATTTATTGTTCAAGACAAAGTAACAATTTATAGTAATTCAAAATATTTTGAAGATCTTAGTGATGTGAAATTTAAATCTATTTCAATTGAAGATAGTGTTAATTCAGAACTTATCATAAATTCACCATTCAAAATAGGAACAATAAGTTGTGAAGGAATAATAAAATTAAAAAAAAATGGGTTTATTTCTAATATGTTATTACATGGAATATTGGTAATTGACAAAAATGTTCATATTACAGTAAATAAATTTATTGGAACAGGAAGAATTATTATGTTAAATGGAATGATGTTAATTTCAGGGAGAGGATCATCTATTGTTAATACAGAAATACAATTTGGAGAAATAAATCAAGAAATTATCAAATTAATTGTTAATAATGATATTCAATTTGAAAAAACATGTTTTAATATTTCACAATATAATGAAGTATATTGTGGTGAAAATCCTTTAACATTAGTTCAATCTATATTTGGTATAATTCAATCAATAAAATCAAGTTTTATTTATCATAACAATAGTTATTGTGAATCTGATCTTTCTAATTCTTTAGAAATTAAATTACAAGTAAATAGTTTGTTGTTGTTGTTGTTGTTTTTTTAATGAGAAAATTAAATGATAAGATTAGTTAATAAATAGACAATTCATGTAAAACATCATATTATTATATTGTTATGCTTGTAGTAGGAATAGCACTAGTGCTTTGTGCTTTAATATTCATGTTATTATTGATTTTTAAAGTGTATCAAAAATTACACATTAAAATAGAATAATTTATGATGTTTATTTAATTGTTTTCTCTTTCTCTCTATAATTGGTAGAACTTAAAAAAATTTATTTGGTTTATGACTCAACAAGGAGATACTATTCTATGTGTTTCAATAAATGAACAAAAAAGTTATATTGGTATTGGAACTATTAATGGATTCTATGTTTTTGATATAAATAATCCATCAAAAGCTAAGTTTCATGAAAAGATTGGAGGAGTTGGATTAATAGAACTCAAAGGAGAGTCACAATATTTATTATTAGTTGGTGGTGGTCCAAATCCATTTGAATCACCAACTGTTGCACGTTTCTATGATTTACAGAAACATAGTTTTGTTTCTAGTAATAAATATTCTTATGCACGAGCAATAAGAAGAATTAAAATGACTAAGAATGATATATTTATTGCATTAGAAAATAATATTGATGTATATTGTGAAGAAAACGTTCCTACTACATTTGATACTTATGATAATCCAAAAGGATTATTTTCTGTTAATTATAATGTTCGAAAATTTGCATATCCATCAATTACTGAAGGAACAATAACTATTCATGATTTGGATAATAAAACAGATATTGCTGTAATTAGTGCTCATGAACACTCTATTTATACATTATCACCTAGTTTTGATTCTACAATAGTAACTGTTAGTGAAAATGGTACTTTAGTTAGAATATGGGAAACTACAAGTGGAACATTATTAAAAGAATTTAGAAGAGGAATGAATCCTGCACATGTTTATTGTGTTGCTTTATCAGATGATGGTAAACTTGTAGCTTTACATAGTGAAAATGGAACAATTCATGTTTTTTCTTTAACTGAGGATATCAAAAATCAAATAGGATGGGTTGCAAAAGGAATAGGAAGTCTTAAATGGTGGTTTGGAGTTGAAAATAATGTATCTGATTATGCCTCATTAATTATTCATGATATTTTACCTAAAACACAAACTGAATTATATTTCCTTCAAAGTGATTATTATAAAATTGGATGTTTGTTACTTTTATTATTATTTTTGTATTATTATTATTTACAAATGATTTATTTTAAATAGTATTTGGTTTAAATGGTGAATATTATGAAAGTCAATTATCATTAGAAAATCAACAATTAGTTAATGATATGTCTGCTCAAATTGAAAAAATCGAATTAAATTAAAAAAGAAAATTAATATTTTTTTTTTTTAAATAATTTAATTATCAATCATTTTTGTCTCAATACATCATTGCTCTTTTCTCTTTTTGTTGTTTAAATGAATCAATCAAAGAGATTGGTACTGAATTCCCAACTACTTTTAAAAATTCATTTACTTCATTATTAAACCCATCAATGCCTTTCATCCATGCATATTCTAGGAATAATGCTAGACATCTTAATAATTGTTTTTCATTTGAGTTAGTATAAAATAACATAACTTCAAAAGTAATTTCAAATCTATGAAGTTTTGTTGAAAGAATTAATAAATTTTCAATAGAAACTATTTTTTGACATAATTCATTCATTATACTTAATATTTTATATGCTTTTAATAATTCTTGTTGAGTTTGTATTCCAATAATCATACTAAGACTCATTGCTTCTACAATTAATCTTAATCTAATACAAATATCATTTGGTTGTTTCATTTTTATATCTTCTTCTTCAATTTTAATTTTTATTAAATAAATATCTTCAATACATAATTTTAAAATACATTTAATTGATTCTTCATACATCCCTTTCTTAACATACCATCTCCATAAAATTTCTGGCCAATATTGTTTTAAATAATTCTTAATTTCATTTGATGATAAATTAATAATAATATCAATTTGATTATTTTCATTTAAAATATCATATAATACTTTTTCTGCTTCTATATTTATTGATCCACTTACAATTTCACAACAATTCTTCTTTATTAACCAACACATTTCATCATTAATCATAGATTTTTGTATTCTTTCTCGAATAATTTCTATTGGTTGCATAATTTCAGTTAATACTCTCTTTAATGATTCTAATTTTTCTTTCTTCATTTTATCACTCTTTTTTAAACTTAATAAAATTAATGAAATATATAAATCATGAAATCCTGATATTACCATCATCCCTTCTATAGATAAAATCTCTGTATCCATATCTTTCATTGAATTATATATTAACATTCCAAATTTATTTCTATCATTTTCATATCCATTAGTACTTTGTTGAGACATCATAAGAGCTTTTTCAACAATTAATTTTATTTCCATTTTTTTATCAAATAATTTAGTATGTTTATTTTTCATTTGAATTACTTGATCTTCAAATGGTTGTCCATTTAATAATGCATTTACTAATACTCCATAAATTACTTCTTTAATATCATTTTCTTTTTCTTTACAAATAACATCTTCAACACTTAAAATTCCACTCTTTCCAACTGGCATTTTTCCCATAATTTTCATTATACAAAGAATATCATATGCACTTTGTGAAACTTCTCTAATTCCAATCCCTATAATACTTTCACTCATTTTCTTATATTTTTCTAATTTCTTTAATACTTGAAGAGATATTATCCCTTCATATCCTTCAAAAACATTTAATTTCCAACATGAACGAATTATTGTAATTAATAATTCAAGTTCTCCTTCTTCACTATTTCCTTCATTTCTAGCACATCCAACAGCTCCTCTTACTCTCTCATTTCTTTCTGTAATAGATTCATATGCAAAACAAACATCTACAACATTTCCAAATAATTCCTTTAATTCTTCAAATTGTTTTCTCAATTCTGTTATATTAGTACATTGACTTTTTGAAATAACACTACGAATTGATGGAAGTGTAATTTGATAATACATTTTTATAGTATTACTTTGTGATTTTCCTGTTATTTCTGATTCATCTGTTTCTTCACTTATAGAATTATCATATTCACATAAAAATGAGATATCATCTATTGGATATAATAATCCACTTCCATCAGCAATAGCACGAGTAATTGAAATATCTCCAACAGAAACAAGAAAAACATCTTCATCATGTATCATTGAAATATGTTCACTTTCAATAAATAAAAAAACTTTTTTTGTTGTTGCTAATAAAATAGCATTTCTATTAATGGTTGATGTAATGATTTGTTCATCAATTCCAATGTCTCGTACATAAATTAATGAATGTCCTGAAACATATCCAATATATCTTGATGAAAAAACAACAATACATGTAAATAAATTTGATATTTCACATGATAAAGGTAATAATGAATTAATAGTAATTTCATTTCCACTTTGATTTGTTAATACAGATAAAGAAGAATGAATTGATGTAATTGTATCAAAATATTCTAAAGTAATTGTTGAATAAATAGTAATATCAATATCAGATAATCCATATAAAATATGTCGAATTTTATCAACATAAATTTTATTATATGTTCTCTTTACAAATAATTTTTTGATAAATGAAAATATTCCTTCAGTTAAACATATTGTTGAATTTCTTGAAAGTTGTAATGCATATATATTTCCTTCTTGAATAAAAAATTGATAATCACCATCAATATTTTTTTCATTTGGAATAGGTGAATTTAATGTTTTAATTTCAAATCCATAATATTGTTCAAATACACCACGACTTCTTTGTCGAATTGCATCAAATTGACCAGCATTTCTATTAAATTATTTTTTATTACATTCAAAAAAAAACAAAAAGAAAAAAAAACAAACCTTGAAATGTTTGAATTGATCATATTAATAACATGTTGTTTTGCAATTTTATCTCGTTGTTTTCTAAGGTCTTCAAGTCTATCTTCATCAACTTGATAAGAACTTTTTTCAGCATTAATTAAATTTTGAAGATGATTAAATGATAATTGAGTTTTTGATGGAAGATTTAAATTAGATATTCGTGGTAAATCCAACATGAACACTCCACTTAATCTCTCTTATTTTTCTTTTCTATTTTTCATTTTTATAAAAACATAAAAATTTTCTATAATAATATATTGTTATATAGAACATAAAAAAAGAAAGAAAAAAAAATGGGATTGATGAAAAAAGACTAACAAAAAAATAATGGAATGAAGTCGAAAGCTTTCGAATGTAAAATGTATTTCTTTCAGTTTCTTTGTGGCTTCTTATTTTCTGAATAATTGGAACTTTAACCTAAAACAAAAAATAAATCATTCCATTAATGCCATTCTCAGAGTCATGGAAGAAAGTTACTAAAAAGATTCAATTCTTTAATTTATTTAATTATTATGTAGGAGGATTTACAATCAATATGTCAACTTATTTTTGTTGGTTAATTATTCCATTATTAATGAAAGAAAATGGAGCAACACCATTTGATATTGGATTAGCTGATGCAATTACATTTGGTATTACAGGATTATTATCACCATTAATTGGGTTTGTAGCAAGTAAAGAATATTTATGTCCTGATACTATTTGTAGAATAGGATTTGTATTACAAGCAACATGTTCAATTAGTATTGCTATTTATTATATTTCTGGAACAATGATTGTTCCTATCTTTTTCTTATTAGTTCAAGAATCATTTGCACTTGCATTCTTTTGGTCTATTTGTGAATATTTATTATCAAATGAAATTTATCAAGGAGAAACAAATCAAAAAATGTCTTGGTTCTGTTGTTCATGGTCATTTGGTAAAGCAATTGGTTTTGTTCTTGGTGGACCAATGAGAAGTGCTTTTGGTTATTCATTTTCACTCTATTTCTCTGCACTTATTGTAATGGTTGCTTTTGTTGTTTTTCCAAGAATGCCAAGAAATAGATCAACAACTCCAAACATAGCTAAAATTGAAAAACAAAAAGCAAAACTTGAAAAGAAGAAAGCAAAGAAAACAGAAAGTCTCACTAAAAAAGGATTAAGTCCTGAAGAAATAGAAATAAAAATAAATAATATGAATAAAGAAAATTTCCTTACTAAACATCAACCTGTTCCAAAAAGATATTTCTTATATTATTTAAATGAATTAGTTATTCATTTTACTGTTTATGGAACAGTTGCTGTATTTGGAAATCAATACATTGATTTTGCTGATGAAAACAATATTGTATTAAATGGTCTTAATGATGATCCTGGAACATATTGTTCATTATTCCTTGGTATTGTTTATTTTTCACAATCATTCTGTTTTTGGGTATTAGGACAATTCTCTTATTGGCAATATAAACAAATTCTTAATATTATTGTTCAAATATTTATTGGGGCAATTTGTCTTGCATTAATTTATCTACGAAATGGATGGGTGTTATGTGTTTTAGCAATTCCAATTGGAATCATTTCTGGATACGATTTACAATCAAATGTTTTATATTCAATCAATGCTGGTCCTAAAATTAAAGGTGTTATTCTCGGTATGAGTGAATGTGTTGGTGAATTAACATGTTGTCTTTGTCCTTTATTTGCTGGTTTGATTGCAACACAAACAGATGATAGAAAATGGGCATTATGGTTTGGATTGATATTACAATGTGTTGGAATTGTGTTATGTATTATTACACAAGCCATAACCATCATTCTGGAACGATTTGATAAACAAAAAGAAAGTGATGAAATCGAGTTAGGTAATGAACATCAAGAATCTAATCCAATTGAAGATGTCGATGTTGATACTAATTTAGTTCATCAAATTGAAATAGAAGATGGAAATGTCTCTGAATCTTCAGAACTTGATAAAGAAGAAGACGCTGATGAAAAGAGTCCTGAAGAGAATGAAAACGTTCAACCCACTGGTACTCCAGAACAAAAACCTTCTAACGAATAAACAAACCATCCATGTCTTCTCTGATTTCTATATTATCTATTTTAATTTTTATTCTTTGATTTTATTCAAATTTTTGTTCATTTTAATGAAGATGTATTCTTGTTCAATTTAAAAAAACACCATTGTTATTAAAACATCTAACAGAATATTTTAACTTTCTATTTAATCCATAATGAAATTCAATGAACTAACAC